AAAGAAAGAAAGAAAGAAAGAAAGAAAGAAAGAAAGAGACAAGAGAGAGAAGGAGGGAGGGAAGGAAGAAAGGAAATAAGGAAGAAGACACAGAAAGAATGTAGAAAGAACTAAAGAAAGAGAAAAAGAAAGAGAAACCAAGATCATGTTAAACACTCAGGGCTTATTTAAGCAGGTATGACAACTCGGGAGGCAGCTTTGTAGGGGGTCAACAGGACCCAGCCAGAACAATGGGCTCACTTAGGAAGCTCGTCTTTCTCAGTGAGATACAGCAGTGGAGTCAAGAGCGGTTACATCCCTCTCTTCTGCTCTGTCTCAGGAGAAAATGAACTCCTGAAAGAGAAGCCCCTGGCAGCTGATGAAATTGCCTCTAGGAAAACATGGGGCAGAGTCAGGACCTGGTCTGACGGACAGGATTTGGAAGAGGCCATCCAGGAGGATGGGCTGGCTCGCTCTGCCTGGCACCTGGACACAGACCCCTACTTCCCCAGGTCTCCTTGGAACAGGCTGGATGGAGACCCACACAGCGGGACCCCCACCTCGAGCTTCCTCTGTCCTAGACAGGGTGTGCTGCTCTCAGAGCCTTTGGCTGGGGCTGGGGTGGGGACGACGGGCAGAGGGTCTGCTTCCTCTGTGACTGGTAACACCTTCCTTTTTGCCCATGAAGTCACCCGATGGGCCCCATTTCCTTTTTAAATATCCAATCTTCAAATGGTTAATTCAATGAAGTCATGTGAGCAAGAGGAGAGGAAGGTAGAAAGGTTACACATTTCGGTCCCACAAAATCCTTCTGCACTCCAGAGGCACAGAGCTAATGCTTTGTGGAGCCCAGACAGGAACCAAGTGTAATAAATGTGCATGTCCCGGAACCAACAGAGCCAACCCAAGCTTCCTTCTTCTTGTAATACCGCATCGAACAAGATAGGTGCAAAATGTCAACCCTATGACTTAACTTAGATGCCCCATTCCAAACTGCACTTCAAGGAATATTCCACAATGGACGCCTCATAAGTAAGTCCTGAGGAGAAGGGAAGCTCTGGCTCAAAGGGCTTGAAGAACTTCCTAAAACGCCGAGGCTATCTCAGTGTACCCAGAGACCCCAGGGCCATGAAGCAGGTCCGGTGTGAGCTAGGGAATGAGGCCAGGACCATGGGGACCTGTATTTGCAGCCTCTGGACCTCTTGGGTGTCTGGGGCACAGTAGGTGCTCTGAACTTAATGCACAGGGAGAAGCCAGCAGGCGGCTTTCCTTGGGAAGTGCCTTAGGAGTTGGGGTGTAACGGTGGTGCCTCCCCTCCTTCCTCTCCTCTCTTCCGTCTCCATTTGAAACGGCCCCTCCCACCACATCTAGGCCTAGAGCTGCCTCCTCTCCAGGAAGATTCCCTGAACTTGCAGCTGGCTCGGGCTCGGCGTGGGGATTTCCCAGCCTTCCCCAGAACAGGGAGCACGGACAGGGGCTAGGAGCCAAGGGCCAGGCTCTCCCTGCCATCATGCTCACCAACTCGACGGGGCTAACTCAGTGCCAAATGGAAATACGCCATCAACTAAACAATGTTGGAAAGCTGACCACCCAAATCAATGCCCTCATTTTTACAGAACAGAATCTGAGGCCCAGAGAGATTAACTCTCTTGCCCGTGGCCACACGGCTAGGTTGAATCCTCTGTTTGGAGTCTAACCACATTCGTTAGTAGGAGGAGAGTGGCGTGAGATGAAACCACCCTTGGAGAACATCGCATGAGACAGTTAAAGATGCAAGCTTGGGTCCACCAATGCCATCCTCCGGTGGCCTGAAAGAGGAGGTCCCCCTCCTCAGAGCTGCACTCCTACCTTTCCATGCCCTGACTTGGACACCTATTGAAACCACTTTTCACACAAATGGAAAGAGATCTGAGGATTCAGACAGAACGTCACATACCAGAGAGTTCTATCTTGATAATCTGTAAAGCAGCTAATACGTTCTTTAAAGTGCATGTCTGTCTCTATTAATGAAGCCATATCTTGTGTTAAGGAGGAGGAGAAGACAAAAAAGACAAGCTAAAGTAAGATAAAGATAAAAGAGACAAGATAAAGATAGGAGACCAGACAAGAGAAAGATAAAAAGACAGTGCAGCCTCCTCCTGTGCTTTGTGTTTTGTTTTTAACTGTGGTCAACAGCGCAGGCTCAAAGTACAGCACCACCCCTGCCCCAGACCAGCGGGCAGCTTCAGAAAGTCCCTTTGTTTTCCCAGGCCTCAAGTTCCTCATCTGTGAACTGGGTGTGACGGTAACCCACACCTCTGGAGACTGCTGGGAACAGAAGAGGACACAGCGCAATTTTAAGCTTGGAGCACCGTGACACAACGCACGCTGCCTTTATTGTCATCGTCATCCTCATCTTTGTCATCCTTGTCATCATCATTGCCCTCGTCATCACTATCACCCTTGTCCTCGTCATCATCGTGATCGTCATTGTCATCATTATGTCCTCACCATCGTCATCATCATCATCGTCGTCATCATCAGTGTCCACATCGTCATTGTCATTGTCATCACTGTCAACATCAATGTCCACATCATTGTCATTGTCATCATCATGTCATCATCAGTCATCGTCATCGTCCACATCATTGTCATTGTCATCATCACATCATCATCATCGTCATCATCATCATCACTGTCATTGTCATCATCAATATCCATATCATCGTCATTGTCATCATCATCGTCATCATCGTCATCATCAATGTCCACATCGTCATCGTCATTGTCATCACTGTCAACATCAATGTCCACATCATCGTCATTGTCATCATCATGTCACCATCACTGTCATCGTCATCATCATGTCATCATCACTGTCATCGTCATCATCAACGTCCACATCGTTGTCATTGTCATCATCATGTCATTGTCATCATCATCATCATCGTCATCATCACTGTCATCGTCATCATCAATGTCCACATCGTCATCGTCATTGTTGCCAATCGCCATCCTCGTCATTGCCATCTTCACCATCACCACCACCTGCACTGTCATCATCACCATCATCATAATGGTCATCATCATCAACGCTGTCACCTTCACTGCCATGATCGTCCTTGTCATCATCATCATTGTGATCATAGTGACCAATGCCGACAACATCCCCTCCCAAACACAGCTGGTTACCTACTTCTTCCAGGGCTCTGAAGGCACTCACAGCATTAATCCACGCTAAAACGGGGCCCTTGTTGTCTGTTGCTCCACGACCATAAAGTTTTCCTTTAAAAATAGGGGAAGGACTTTGAGAAAGGCACAGACACCCCTGCCAAGCTGAGCAAGTTAAAAACAAAGGTGGTTTTATGGGTAATCATTTTAACAGTACTTTCTATTTTTCCAGGCACAAATCGTGCTTCGAGACCACCATGTCTGATTTCTTCTGTACAAACAGTATGGCCATCAGCTAATACAAATAATACAATAATGTATAATTGTAATAATACAAACTAATTTGCAATATACAAATCCCTCTGGCCTTAATAGGAATTAGCCCTTTTAGCCAAGCTCGCTGGAAAGGACCTGTGGACCTGTTGTGGAATGCCATGTAACACAGCCTCTCCTTTCAAGAGTTTATAATTCGCATGAGAATGAAAACAGGGTATGTGTGTATCTCCGTTACCCTTTCTTCTTTTCTTTAAAAAACATAATTTCACTCAGTACTTTAACAAAGGAAACTGTGTGACCCGGACGACTACCTTCCTCCCAATAACCCCCATCTTGGGAGTTAACTCGCCCAAGAGCACGCATCACACGAACAGCTGTAGTTTATTTCACAAATGACTAACAGCCAGCCTTGTTGGACAACTGGTAGACTATAAGACTGGCAGCATTTTGTTGATCCCTAACGGTGACAGGGGATAGGAGTCACATCTTTAGTCCCCGAGCCTTGTAGGCAATCCCTTGTCCACAAAGAACCCAACACTGATGCATCACTGACCATCCACTTCCGTCAGCGTGTAAGGGTCTGTGAGCCACCCCTCTTCCTGTCTAGCAGGCTGCACATCCAAGTGGCCGTAGAAGCACACGGTGGGCTTTTCTGGGTCATTTCCCAGTTCGGCCAGGACGATGGGAGGTATCGGGAGAGTCTGACCATCAGGCAGCTGCAGAAGAAAAACAGGTCACATAAAAAAAAAAAATAAATAAGTGTTGTCTAGTTCTCCCAGAAAATTCACACATGAGAGTAGGAGTCCTGTTTTGTTTCTACCCATGGTCTTTTGTAGAGCCCACACAGTTTTTCTGATCATCACTTTATCTACATTTAAAAAGGGTACCATGAGCCACTTAATTAAAACCTAAAACGTAATGAAAAATACTTTTTTAGATGCATGGTGACAGTCAGCTGAATTGAACATGCTCTTCGGTATGAACTCAGACTCCAAAGGCCTAAATCCAGTGGACATGGTTCTGGAAAACAGACCATTCAGGGATTCGTCAATGCTGACGCAGGTGCAACGGCACTTAGATGGAGGATCGCCATTTGTGACCGAGATGCAGTAATAAGCCGTAACTCTGATGCAAGACTGTGTCCTTTGAGAAAGGTACATTTGAATGTAAGGGAAAGGACGGTTTGGGAGTAACTGGAACCACACGTGAAGGATGTGAACAGAATACGGAGGGGGGCCTTCCCAGTCCTGACACAACGAGAGATCGGTAACACCATCTCGTCGGGGACAAGATGTAATTCTTCATCTTTACTGGGTATGAAGATTATAGGGGCGTTTTTCTGGAGGATCGAAGCCAGTTCCAGTCTTGCCACCCCCACGGGAAGCCATGGCTGACGCCCAGGGAGGTGGCCTCGCTCGTGGCGGGGGAGGGGCCATCCAACCTGCTGAAAGCCCGTGTCCACGGAGTCCACGCTGGCACCCAGACACCGAAGCTTGTCTGCAGCCAGGGCCATCATTCGGAAGAGCTCTTGCCTGAGGTGGGGCACGGGCTGAACGGAGTCACTCTCTACGGCCACCCACTCCTTAAGTATCTGTGAGGAAAGGCGACAAGGTGATTTGCCTGAGGAGTGTCATCCACACCCGCTCTGGGCGGGGTGCTCCTCACTGAGACGTCACTCAGGGGTAGGGGACACCAAATCTCTAGCACTCTTCACCTGACCTGAACACTGAGCTGGCAAACAGGCAACACCCAAGAGGAACTGCCAGACGGGCCGATAGAGACGTTTGCTGTGTAAGGAAGAATAGGCCCGGACAGCTTGGGCACAGGGTTGCCTTCCTAGACAGCTGCGCCTGTCCTCCTTGGATCCACAGGGTGCACAGCAGGGCTCCTGACCCACCACTTCTGGTTTAGTAAGAGCCTGGAGCAGCTGTCTGGTGACTCTGCTCCAGGACGCCGGGCCTCCCACAAGGCCCCGGAGGCGCCTGGCCCTCGCTGCTCACTCTGGTTAAGCACACGGTGGCCTCGGCTGGGCTGCAGGGCTCCCTGACCGCCCTTGGCATATGGGTGTTGTGGTCAGCCCCCGGCACCTCCGGAACCCAGTAGTCCGTGTATCCCGGGGCCTAAACTCAGGCCTCCGCAGGCAGACAGCCTTGCCTCCTGCACCGGGTTCTGCCCATTCGAGCTGGACGGACAGCACGTGTCCCTCATCCCCATGAGGAGGGCAGTGCTCTCCACCTGTGGGCAGTTGTGCGTGTGATACCATCACACAGTAAGAAATGTATATTGTGACCTTTGTCCTGGGCTCTTGACCAGAGCCTCTAAAACCTTGGTAATTTCCTATGAGATGACAGTGCAGGAGTATCTTTTGTTCAGAGACTGGGCTCCTGAAAGAGAGCTCCCAACCCCCTTGGAATTTCCCGGGAGGCAGGAGCATATTTTGTTCTAATGAGGCAGTTCTAATGGGCTTCTGGATGGGGCTGGTCCCCAGAAAGACCACGCTGTGTTTAGAAGCTTGGGGCTTCCGACCCCAGCCACATCCTCTGGGGAGGGAGGGGCTGGACACTGGTTCACAATCGATCCTGCCTTCGTGAAAATCCTGCCTATAAGCGTCCCTGAAATTACAGGGTTCAGACGTCTTCCAGGTTGGTGACTGCATCCGCGGCCCGGGAACGAGGCACACCCCAACCTCAGGGGGACAGAAGGTGCTTCCAGACCGTGCCCTCTGTGCCTCTTCACCTGGCTGCTCACACACCCTTTATCATGTCCTTTATTACATAACATATGGCAACCATAAGTAACTGTCTCCCTCAGTTCTGGAGCTGTTATAGCAAACGATGGGACCTGAGTGGGAGTCATGGGAGCTGTATGGAACCTGTGGGTAACTGGGGGCTCACTACCTGTGACTGGCATCCACAGTCGGCAGTGGGGGTAGGGGGGTGACGCTCGTGCCAGGCAGGTGGGTCGGGAGGGAGCTGGACTGTGGATGCCCCCTTGGTGTCCAGAGAGCTATATAGTTGCTTGACATGTGGGAAATGCACACATCTGGCCACACAAGAGAGGGAAGCCAAAAAGATAACAAGCATTCCTTTCCGCGAGGATCAGAGAAGATGACGACACATGACTTATCTCAGAGCCTGGGCCCGGGCACCCAATCAACACCAAGTAGTATTGAATTATCAATAATAATCAATCACAGGGGCGCCTGGGTGGCTCAGCTGGGTGTCCGACTTCAGCTCAGGTCATGATCTCACGGCTCGTGAGTTCGAGCCCCGCGTCGGGCTCTGTGCTGACTTTAGTATGAAGTATGTGGCACTTTTATTTAGTAACTGGACCTGAAGGAATATTGTGTTTTGCACTCTTAAACTGACATTTATGGAACAGAGGCCTCCAAGTAATCCCTAAAGGCAACTGACTGGGTACGTGTGAGGAGGCTGCAGAAAGGAGACTTTGGGCTGAAACACCCAAGTCAACATGCGTCCACCACACATTGTCCCCCATTAATTCCAAGCGACACCGGAGTCCCCAGCTGGGTTTCAAACACCCAAGAGGCCTCATGTGAAGTAAAGACACACACGAGTATGAGGAAGGATTCCATGAAGGTCAAGTGTAGGGCCAGCGGCCTGGCCATTCAGCTTGTGTGTCGGCACGAGACACGAGCTTTTCCCATCTGTCTGCCCATGAATATGGCCGACGCCGGCTGGTGGATCCAGCATACGTACACTGAACGTGAATCGTGTGTCAGACATGGCGTGCGGGCTCGGGTACAAAGTCCTGTGAGATGTCACAGAGTTCCCGGGCCGTGGTGGACACTCTCACGTGTCAAGGGGCCAGAGGGCCAGCGGAAGAGGAGGGGACTTTCAGGGAGACAGTGGCTACAGCCCGTGCCTGCCCCCACCCTCTCTGCTCCCAGGCCCCCTCTCCCCTTTCTCCACCCCTCCCACTCCATCTCTTCTCCGCGAGATGTATGCCCTGCACCACGTGCAGTCCGCCATGCACTGGGTTAGGAATGGAGCAGAGGATTATAAGGGAGGAGATAAAGTGCACATTGCACAAGGTCTACAAAACAGCTTTGACAGTGACCTCGGCAGAACTCTGGACCTAAAGCTTGCTGCAGCCAGGTGGTATTACCCTGAGATGGTGTCACGGGGGGATGAGTCTCAGGCAGGCTCTGCAGGAGGAGGGGCCTCAGCAAGGGCCCCAGTAAGGGAGGAATGGGCACTCTGATGACGGTCCAGGGTCAGCGTGGGCTCAGCAGGTGTCAGCACTACGCGGACAGCCATGAGAGAGACAGATAGCACGAGCTGGGAAGGGGCAGAGAGGGAGGGGGACAGAGGATCTGAAGCCAACTCCAGGCTCCGCGCTGACAGTGGAGAGCCCGACACGGGGCTCAGACCCACAGACCGTGAGGTCGTGACCTGAGCCAAAGTTGGATGATTACCCAACTGAGCCACCCAGGCGCCCCACAAATATTTCTTAGTTTAATTCAGTGAAGACTCAAGGGCATTTCAAATGGAATTAAGTTGTCAGGCAAAAAAAAAAAAAGAAAGAAAGAAAATTCCACACCTCCCAGCAAATAACCACTCACCCAGATACCCAAAGGGTATGCCATTTAAGCGTTTCGTGTGTGTGGTTCCTCCTACCTGTACAAACTCATTCTGGTGGAGATCAATGAACTGGAAGACCCTCTCCAACAGCCCGGAGGGTGGTGGGGACGGAGAGAACATGCCTCCCTCGAGCAGCAGCAGGTAAGCCAGGAGAGAGGTCACCTGCAGTGGGCGACAGGGGAGGGACATCAAAGATAAATACCAGATTTTGAACCTTCGACCTTTCAAATACTTCAAGAAAGCTTATGTTATCCAACACAGCTACTCCCGGTCATTTGGACTAAAATAACAAAAGGTAGTAGAACAGGAAATAAGAGTTTTTGCTGTATCTTCACCAAATCACTTCATTTTCAACGCTGAAGAATTTTAATAAGACAGAAACCAAGTGAACACGTTCGTTAACATGCCATCTTCCCTGTTGGCCCTCTTCCCATGAAGGCAAGTCAGTGCTCCGCATCCCAGGCAGCAGCCAAGGGCAGTGTTTGTGAGAGAGAGAAGTGTGATGCAGTTTAAAAAAAAAACAAAACATTTTTGTGTGATCAACCAGTTTATTAGAAAAAAAAAATTTTTTTTGTAAAGACTCTCTAAAATCCTGTGTGGCATTGTGGGTTCCTTCCATCTGCTCCTGAGGTTAGAGTCCCTTAAAAAGAAACTTACAAGCCATGCGGTAAGGACATCAAAGGCCTGGCCATCACTAGACACCGTTAGCCCCACCCTCCACCTGGGAGGCCCCCCCGGCCCTATCTCTCGTCTTCCCCGAGAACTGCTCTGGCCTCTCTGTTTCCATCCATGAGGGGTCCCTCCTTCCCTTGCCTGTAAATGTGAGACCCGCTAGAGACCCCAGTTGCCCCCCTCCTCCCTCCGCAGCTGTCCCTCCACCCCGATGGTGGGCTCCAGGCTGGGCACAGAGCAGAAAAACTGGTCTGGATGAGGGTAGGACTACCAGGTCAGAACTAAACTAATCATCTTCTTCCAAACCAGCTCTTCCTTCTGGACTTTTGTACATTTTTACAATAGATCCTCAGCCTACGGTTCCAGGCACCAGCACAGCCAAGGTGAGGACTTGTGTCTACAATATAAGAAACTACAACTCAGTAATAAAATACAAATTAACCCGGTTTACAAATGGGCAAAGAATCTGAATAAACATTTCTCCAAAGAAAATACACAAATGGCCAACAAGCACATGAAAAGATGCTCACCATCATTAGCCATCGGGGAAATGAAAATCAAATCAAACCATAGCAACACAATTCACACCCACAAGGATGGTTAAACCCAAGAAGTCAGATGATGACAAGCGTTGGGGAGAATGTAAAGAAACTAGACCCTTCATGTGTTGCCGGTGGGGGCGCAAAATGAGGCAGCTGCTGTGGAAAGCAGTCTGGCAGGCCCTCAGATGATTAAACCGTTGCCATATGACCCAGCAATTGCACTCCTAGGTATACACTCAGGAGAGATGAAAATACATGTCCACACAAAAACCCGTACATGACCATTTATAGCAACATTATTCGTAACGGCCGAAAGGTAGAGACAATCCCAATGGGCATCGATGGGTGATACAGACAAGATATGCTGCTCAGCCCTAAAAACAAATGGAGCACTCATACCTGCCACCACGGGAACGAGCCTTTAACACCTTGCTAGGTGAAACCAGACACAAAACGCTACAGATTGTCCAGAATGGGCAAATCCTGAGACAGAAAGCACGTTGCTGGTTGCCTAGGGCTGGGGGGATGAGGGGAGATGGGAAGTGACTGCTCACGGGCAGGGTTCTGTTGGGGTGATGACAGACAGGTTCTGGGATTGTGACAATGACTGCACAAGTCAATATACTAAAGCCACGTAACTGCACCATTTAAATGGGCGAATTGTAAGATATTAAGTTATAGTGCAAAACAGTACAGCTGTTGCAGAAACAACAAGTATAAGCACTCATTCAGTATACCACCGAGTAGGAGAATTGTCCATAAGGGACGCAAGGTAGTGGGTAACAAGGTGACAGTGAGCCGTCCTCGGTCAAGAACGGATTAAGAACTTTGTCCAGTAGGTGGCGCCGGTGGGCCGTTCATGGGCTCCCTTTGCCTCCTATTCTGGTCGGAACACAGCTGGATCCAGCTAGGCTCTTGCGGGGCAGAGCCAAAAGCTGAAGGCTGTAAATAAATCAGGAGGAAGGGACTCCTTGAGACCCACAGTGGCAAGAAGATGGAGCTCTGAGCACCCAGGAAAAGCCCTTTGAAATGGAGTAGGCTCTTTTTTCCACCTAAGTCAATATTTGAGCTTTTATTATCCACTCATTCGATTTCCAGTAAAAATTATCTGATGCTCCTCTCTGATGAAAAACAAAAAGGGCTTTTTGAAGAAGAAAAGGGAGCCACAGGCAAAGAGGGAGAACTGTGACCACAAGGCCTGAGAACATCTCCATTTCCAGGGGGAACTACCCCCTTCCCAATGGGAGTCGTATGCCAAGGACTGACCTTCCCAAAAGACTGCTCCTGGTGATGTGGCCCGGACAACAGGGGTCTACACCACTTCACTTTCACTCCCCCTCCCCGTGGAGCACATGGAGCACTGCTGTCCTTTGCTATCAGGCCCACGGAGTGGCTCGGGGCACCAACCCTGCCTTTAAGATCTGGGGCCAACCCCAGGCTGCACCTCTGCTCCTCTCTGGAGTCCCTCAGGTTCCTTTATCTGTTTGCTTCCCTGTGTGATAGTCAAGCTTGACCTTGAACTAATCACCCAACAAAATTCTGGAGATTTAGTAAGGCTATTCCTGACTTTGGCCTTGGCAGAAGGAAGAAAGTTGCTAGAGAAGGAGAAGCTGAAGAATGGGGTCAGGGGTAGAGCCGGGAAAGCCCTGGGGTGTTTTCTTTCGGGGAGCAGGTAGCCCAGCTCTGGGCTGCGGGGGCCCGTCACAGAGGAAGGCTTGCTTGCTAATTCCAGCTAGTTGTTCCTTGATTTAGAACAAATTTCCAAGTACCCCGGTGCTGACTCTTATTTTTAAACACTTTACCTTTAAGACTTCTCAAAGTCATGCCCAGGTCTGTGGTGTAAAGGACGCAGGCCTGTTTCTACTCTCCTCTCTCTCTGCTCCGCCAACAAGTGGACAAAGCCGGGTCATCGTGCGCTTAGCCCACGGCAGCCTGGAAATCGCCAAGGGCTGCCTTCACCAAGGGCCCTCCCCCCCACCTGCCTCCAAAGCAGCAGGAGCCCTGAGAGGGGGCTGGGGAGGGGGCGGACGTGGATAAAACCCACCCCCTCCCCATTTGCTGTCCTTGTTTGATTCTGACTGTTGAACAGAATAAACGATAGAAAAGGAAACTGTTGCCACCCACAGAGCCTGGGCCAAGCTCGCTTCCTCCCACGACACAAAGGCCCATCAGCAGGGCCTACTTCCCCTTGTGAGCAACTTCAGTGCGGGGCCAACGTGCACACATGCACTCTACTCACCACGTCTCCTGGCGTCCCGCGTGATTGCTCTACAGGGCCTGCCTCTGCCCCGGGTCTGCTTGGATGGATTTGTTACAACACGGAAAAGAAGGCTTTATTCACCTAGTTAGTCTTACCATGACAGGATTAAAAATAAACCCCCACACCAAAAAAAAAAAAAAAAAAA